TTTTTTTTTTTGTAACATTATATCTGTCTTTACTGTCACACAGTCCTTGATGAATAAGCATTAAAGTATTATAGTTTTATAAGGTATTATAAGTATTAATTTCTTTAAAAATGACCCCAAACTTTTATTTATTTATTAGATATCAAAAATAGTGTGGGTGAGTTGTTGTGTAATTAATTGCATGTGCACACAAAAAGAGAGAGAGAGAGAGAGAGAGAGAGAGAGAGAAATAAAAAAAAAAATCATTGTCATCAGAAAAATAAATAAAAAACATTTGTAAATAATAATAAATAACAGGGCCCACACTATTATAAAACACTTTGTGTTTCTACTGAGGAATATTCATTAACTTCAGAAAAATAACATCTGCTAAACTTCTTAATGTCCTCCCAGAGGTCCAGTATGTCCCATCCTCTTTAATGTACTGATTCTGTGGCAGTGTTGTACCTTGCCCCTGCAGACGGAGCGCACACAGTCTATGATCTGGCCCGTCTCCAGTCTGAAGGCTCTGCATCGCTTCAACTCCTGATCCCACAGTTTGAGCGCACCACCCTCCTTAGACCTGCAGAGGGCAGCCCACACAAATCCTCTCATTTACTACAGCACCTTTTGAGAACATTCATGTGGATTCAGAGAACAAAATATTTCAGTGACAGATATTTGGAAAGCTCAAGCCACTTACGGTCGTTCTTTGCCCCCCGTCACAATGAGCCCGTCACGTAATGTGGTGTACATGGTGAACACAGGTCCAGTGTGAGCCTTAGCCACGATTCTCACTAGAACGTGTTCCTTCCACACACACACATCTCCACTAATGGTACCTGTAAATGTCAAGTTATTCTGAAAAGAAAACAAACCTGCACTAATCTAGTGACCTCTAAGAGAAAAACAGCACAAACATGGCAAAGCACAGCATTTTACATCCTTTCAGCGAATCTTTAAAAAAACGAAATGTAATTTTTTGTTAAAATCATAAACAACTTTTTGAATTAATTCTTGACGTAATACCATTTAAGCTCTGACACACAAGTGCACAAACAAATGCACAGATGTACAAGTATGCTTGCATGTATACATAAATATACTCACACACATTCACACAGTCATTTAAAGGCACAATATGTACGTTTTCGCCGCTAGAGGTCGCATTTTCAAAACAATAACAAAGGCGAAGCTCATTTTTTTTATTACCTGTACCATCCAAATTTATTCAAACAGCGAATAAATTATATAGAGAAAGCGAGCAAAGAACATTTAACGTTACATTGTCAAAGAACAGTATGCCTGACTTCAGTCTAGCGCGAGTTTAAGCACTCTCAAAAAAATCAGTAAAGCTGTCTATACACTGTTTGATGAATGAATCTCCTACTTACATCATACAGTACATATATCTGCACTTTGTTGTTTATTATGAGAGAATACACTCAGCGAGTGCGCGAACTGAACACAACTCCGGTGTTTCAGCGATGACTCATCTAAACGCCTCTGATTGGCCGCTGCGTTCATAAACTCAACAGACTCGTGTGTGATTGGTTATAACGCGCAACACTGTAAAAACACGGAAAAAGATTCATGGTGCAACATTGGGCAGATCTAAATGTAATGCTGCAATCAACAGTTTTCATTTCATTTTCATTTTATTCACGACTGCCGTAATGGATTTAGTTTAACTGCAGCAGCATTTTTGTCCACGTGTGTTGCCATAGTTTTTACAAGCGAAACTGATAGCGCGGATATTACGTAATTGATAGGCGACAACGAACCGGGACGAGCCATTAAAATGGGAATTTCTCTGGATTTACAAATCCTTGGGAACTTTTGGGATAACGTAAGTGCACAACTGCATGAAATATATAACAATGTGCAAGTGGTTTTTGGATATTTTATTACGAAAATCTTACATATTGTGCCTTTAAAGGGATAGTTCAAAATACAAATTTTGCCTTGTGAAACAGAAATGGTTATTTTGCAACTCTCAAATTTCATTCGTTTTTCGTGTACATTAAAATATGGCATTCACAACCGTTCAAAAGTTTGGGATCATACATTTTTTAAAATTAAATTAATACTTTTATTATTATTCAGCAAGGATACATTAAATGTTAAAAGTAAAACATAAAAAAAATTATACATATTATAATTATATATACATACATACACACATTTTTTTATTATATTTTTGTATTATATTTTTTATTTTTTTATATATTTCAAATAAATGCTCTTCTTTTGAACTTTCTATGTATCAAAGAACACCAAAAAAAATTAGTTTCTAGAAAAATATTAAGAAGCACAAAAGCTTTTAACATCAGCTAATTAGATTTGTGTGGAGTAATAGCTGCTAAAAATCTTTGCCATCACATTTAAAAACTGCCATATTTCACAATATTACTGTTTTACTGTATTTCTGATCAAACAATTGCAGCCTTGGTGAGCAAAAGAGAATGTTTCAAAAACATTAAAAAATCTTACCACCCCTGTATATAGAGCTTATTTTAGATTTTGACAGCGTCCATTCCAGTTTGCTTTCATTTTACGGAAAAGAGCAACTTCGACATTCTGCAAAATCTCTTTTTGTATTGGTTTGGAACACCATGGGATTTTTGATTTTTGGGTGAACTATGCCTTAACCTCTCCCTCTCTAACAACAATTACAAGGCGAGCTGAACATCATATAGAAATGGAAGAATACTTACAGCTCCAAATGCCACTGAGAGCATGGTCTGCATACGGGCTTCCTCAATGGAGCTGAGCACTCCTTTCTTGCTGAGCAGGGCCTTGCCGGCCAGCGTCCAGAACCGCACGTGTTTTATCCCCACTGACACAAACTGAGTGTCCGAATCAGGCCGGAACTCTGCCACAAAGATCCTCTGGGTGTGACCGGCCCGACATGCTACTTTGGCACCTTTGAAAAGAATTTCAGATCCCAAACCTGATATAAAAGCAGAGAGCAGGCAGAGTGCAGAGTGAATGCAGTGTGTGTTGACCTGTACCTTCCTGCCACTTCCAGATGGTGAGGCTGTGCTGGGGGTCCAGACCCACAGAAAGCAGCAGTTTGCCGGTGGCACTGAAGCTTACAGAGCAAACGCCCCTAGAATGATGGCAGCGCAGCACAGAGAGGGTCTGTTTATTCATGGCTTCCCACACATGGATAGAAGGAGATGTGGCTGAAAATACAAAAATAAAAATGCTTCATTTGTCCACTGTTGCTTTGATTTGTAAAGTGATATAGCTGTATTCTAAAGCCTTTTCAATTCAATTCTTAAGTTTGACAGTGATTCAATAATCAAGTGTCAGTGTGAGACAATGTTTCATGGCAACTCTGTTTTTTTTTTGTTTTTTTTAAAAAGGACACTGTCTCTTACCTGACATATCACCAGCATCACCTAAGTGAACAAAAACAGCAGTTAAACATGGTATGAACAATAATTTTAATTATATAATTTTTAAAACCACTGGTGCATAAATGTATGTTGTAGCGTCAAACTGTCCAAATACTCAAAAAAAAATTTTTTTTAATTAAAAACAAATGTGTCAAGCAACATGCGCAAATGGCAATAAATCACAGCAAAGCACAGGTGCAACCATTGGGGGGGGGAGAATTTAAGAAATCTCATATGTTTCCTTTCAGTTTTAGACATCCAGATTTGCCAAAATACAGAATCAGACTCTATTTCATTGTGACCATTTTTCCTCATCAAATTCTTAAAATACCAACGTCTCTAAGTTATGCTATCCATGTTAATTTTATAACTCTAACTGTATGTCACTGTCTCATTTGTTGAATTTTAGGAGAAACATCTGGGACTAAGTTAATACCTGGGCAGTCAAAGTGAGAAGAAAGGGGTGAATGTTTTCACAAACATACCTACTTGGCCAGTTGCCACTACGTTGGGGAACTTTGGGTGCTGATTAATAGTCAGGCACAGAATATCATCACTGTGTTCCAAATAGAAACTCTGACAGGCTGAAGGAAAACAAACAGAAAAAAAAACAATGATGCTCAACAAAAAATTTTTTGTCATGTCTTCATGCCTATAAGAACTCAATGAATAAAATCCATATCTAATCCGCTCTTGCTGCTTTCGCCCACTCAGGCACATTAAAATGTATTAAACATGCATTACATATGGCAGGCACCTATGGGTTTTCTCCCCACCTGTTGTTAAGTTTAAGACGACCCCTACTGAGGCAGTGTGGTAAATGATGTCCGCCCCCTCATTAAGGTAATGCACATTGTTACGGCAGTCGTTGCCTCGGTAACCAAACACCAGTTCGAGCACCAGGTCCTGCAGAGAGAGTCAAAGAGGGGTGTCTGAGGTCATATCCATGACAACAGCAGAGAGTATCTGGCTCATGGACATGAACAGAGAAACTGTGCTGCAGTTCAATCAAGAGAGGCTAGAAAGATCATCTAACCAATGAGGACAGGATAGGATACAGGGAGGAATAAGGACAGGACAGGGCAGAAAATGAAAGGAAAGAATGCATGATGCATGTTTGTTTTGATTACACATAGCTTTAAAAAAAACATATATTCGTATTCTGATATGCCCATCACTCACCTCAATGGGTCTCTTTTTCTTGCCCACGTTGTTGGTCTGCAGTTTCTCTGGCATTGGTGGTGCCCTGCTCACTGGGGGTCTGCGCCCAAAGACAAAAAACACAGCCACTTAATCAGTCTTACAGCAGTAATAAGGTCAGACAGTGAGCAGGTGAAAAGGACACCAGGTTTCACTTCAGGTTTTCACTGTAACATGTAACCAAATACAAAATACAAAATATACTGAGTCAGTTCTATATGTGAAAGTTTGTGAGAACGTTTGAGTGAAACCTTTGTAAAAAGTTTATATATATATATATATATAAAAATCGTATCAGGTACAATGAGGTGTGATCGGTCTAGTCTTACCTTGAGCCCCTTTAAAAGCAGCATTAACAGAGAGAGAAAACATTAGAAGTGTGTCAGTTGAGCAGTTCCCTCGAGTACTCCAGAAAACAAAGAAGCACAACACAGGAACACTACACAACAAAATACAATAAAAATATATAAACGCTGTCCATGTTCACTTGACAGCATGTGTCAAAACACAAAATGGCCCATAGAGCTGGTGAAGCAAGTGAGCAAGTAAAACTAGCTCAGTCAATTCATTTTCTTTACTCTTAAAGAAATAGTTCACCCAAAGTTCTTACTCACTGCCATGTCATTCCAAAACCATATGACTTTCTTTCTTCCTTATAACACAAAAGGTGAAGCTCTGAAGAATGTCTTGGCCACTCTCTTCAATATAATGAAAGCAAAGGACTTAGGCTGCCAAGCTCCAAAATCAACCATAAAAAATGTCATAAAAGTGGTCCATATAATTTGTCTGCTATATTCCGTGTCTTCTAAATCTGTACGATTAAGTTGCTATTCATCTAACTCTCCATGACACGTTCATGTGAGTTCCTGAGAGAAGTAACCCCTTGTGAAAAAGTGTGTTTAACTTTGTAGTGTGCTTCAAATCTTACAAGCAGTGCTATAAAACTGATGAATCGCGATTAATCGCATCCAAAATAAAAGTTTGTGTTTACATAATATAAGTGTGTGTACTGTGTGTACTGTGTATATTATATATATATATATATATATATATAATATACACAGTACACACAGTACACACACTTATATTACGTAAACACAAACTTTTATTTTGGGTGTGATTAATCACCATTAATCGATTTGACAGCACTACTTACAAGTATATTTTTAAAAAACTGTACTTGCAGATATTAATTAAATAATAGGACAATTAAGTGTACTTAAAGCACGCTTTCATGTTTCTTAATACACTTAAGTACACTTTTAAAAGTACACTTTGTAATAGTTATATTAAAAGCTTTACTTTAAAAGTACATTTTAAACCAGAGTTTCCCTGCACAACCGATGATGCATAATAATCCGACAATGTGTGTGGTCATGGAAACGCGTTAAACCTTTTACCTTTATCAGTATAAGGTCATACATTACTTAAACATAAACCAATCGACACAGCTAGTTTTTTGCCCATTACCCTGATTTTGCCCTCCATGTAAACAACTTAACCTGCGTTCTGTCGGCTTATTGAAGTGCGCATGTTTAATATGTGACAGAAAAGCATCCTTTACACCAGATTTAAGCCCATCCAGCCACAGCGAGTGAAAGGCTAACATTTTGGAATTTTCTGGGGTTTTTAATGCTTTATTTAATATCACAACTCCCATAACAAATGGAATACCATGAGTACACTGTAAAAAATGACCGTGAATTTAACGGTAAAAGATTGTAAAAATGCTACAGTAAAAACCTGTTAAATGGTTAACGGTAAATTCCCCTACTATATACGGTGAAAAACTGTATTGGACATTACATGTATTGGACATTAATTTTACGGTAGTATACC